AAGAATCTTTCTATAATCCTTGTGGTGACGTATCAGTTCTCTCTTGTGAACATCTACTTCCCAGTAGTCAACCACAGGATATGCATGTTCAGCTACATCTTCATCACTATTGAGGTCAACAGAAATATGACCATATTCATAGTGAGTGAAGTGAGAGTAAAAACTCTTCTCGCGCCGAGTCTGCAAATTCACGTCAGACAGATACCATGCAATATCTTGGAAGTCCAAGACAAGATGAGTACTGGCTGCAACCTTCAACTCCAAATATTTGATACCAAGAGGCACCGATGTCAGATAAGCATGTTGAGGTGTCAGCCTGAGTTCAAAGCCTAAGTTCCTCATCTGTGGCAAGCTCATAAGCAAAGGGACTTCTCCTTCTTCCACTATGTCGAACTCTGTATGGTGGATCGTCCATGCACGATCATACATGTAAATCACCAGTTTCTGAGAGCAAGTAGCCTTCTGGGAATTGGCAAAGTAAAACTTGCTCTTGGTAGACTCAAAAGAGTACCATAATCCACAATCTGGGTGATTGTCGACATAGTTGCAAAAATGGTCGACTGCTCGCCTTGATCCCATAGCTCTAGTGCATCCAATGTCCAGGATTGCAATAGTCGGCGGGAAGCGATTCTCAGTCAAAAATGAAATGGCCTGCATCTCCTTCACTTCTTCCTCAGCGCTCATAAGCGCAAAGCCATCAGGAGCCTTTGTGAGCATCTCCTTTGACAAAGAGTACCTCACAGGGGCACTCATGCCATTGAAGATCGTCTCACCATTGTTAACCGCGCAGTCAGCTTCATCTTGACATGAGGTCATCATGCCTGACAGCAAGTCCACCTCACTGTCATGGACTTCAGCTGCTGCTGTCACACAATGTGCAAAGAAACCTTGTTGACCTCCTGATGCTTGTGAAGATCTTGAAGGTGCAGGTAAAGAACGTGGCTGTTGTGGATTTGCATAGTTTGCATCTTGTTTGCCATCTCCTTTATCTTTTCCTTTTCCTTTCTTGCCTTTTCTCTTGCCTTTTCCTTTTCCTTTGTGGGAAAACCATGCTTCTTCAAGCTGTTGCCAGAAGTCATTGGCATCATCATATTCTCCTTGAAGATAGTCATTCATATCCTCGGCAAGAATGGCATCATATGCTACTTGGGTTGACTCCCAAGTATCCTCATAAGGATTCTCTTCAAAGTACTCTTCTGGATATGTTGTCTGTTGCTCATCAGCAAAATGGCCTTTACCTCGTCTCTTTCCTTTTCCTTTTCCACGAGGTCTGAAGAATCTGCGGCCTGATCTTCCTTTTCCTTTTCCTTTTCTTCTTCCTTTTCCTTTGCCTTTTCTGGCTCTTCTTCCTTGGAATCTCCTTTGGAACCACGAGAAGTTTTGATCATCATATACCCAAAAGACATCGTCCAGGGCATCTAAAAATCCTTCTGTTCCATCTTCTTCATCTTCGGCCCAATAGCCAAATGTACCATCGAGTTCTCCTTCGTCTAGTACGAGAAATGATCTTCTGCCTCCAGCACCTGTTGGCTGCATCAAAGGATTGTCTACTGAAGTCTTTGTTGTGCAGAACATCTCAATGAACACTGTCCTCAACTCTGTTGTGGTGTATTGCTGCAGGACCCTGCCACGATGAGTCATCAAAGAAGTCAAAGTGTTTCGCTGGTCCTGAGACAAATCTGCAAGTGACAGCATGAGTAAAGCAATCAGATTTTCTCCTAGAGGAAATTCGTTCTGATGAAAAGTCCTCATATTGCCATTGATGGTCTGCATGATTTCCTGAATCCTTTCTGCCGTTGGTGCTACTCCAGTCAACGCTGCATCTGCCTGCATCTGTGCTAGGACTTGTGGATGTGCTTGAGTGACTGGTTCTAACATGTCCATCCAACTGCTCATAAGCCTTTGGAGTAAAATCTGGAATCTTGTCATCCATTTCATCATGTCAGCTGATCCTCGATTGAAGCGCACGAATTGCATAAATCTATACAGGAATACATTGGTTGATCCCTTCACGAAATATGGTCGTAGTACTCGTTTGAAATATTCCACGCCGGCTCCTGGTGGATCATTTGCCTTCAATGCATCTCTGTCTAAAACACGCTTGTATACAGCTGCTTCTCCTTCTAATCTGTTTCTCAATGCTGGTCCTCTCTTCTCATCCTCCAGCTCGGTGATATCACACCAATCGTCTATGGCATCCTCATAGGAAAACCATGAAGTCTTTCCATCATAAGATGGGGGCACCTTTGTAGTGACCTGTGTTGTCATTGCTATTGCTGCTGGTTCTCTTCTCACATGCCTATTCACATAGGCTGCTGGCTCATAAGCCACATCCGCATCAGGCTCTTCCCAGTCGTCAATCCAATCCATGGCCGTTTGCCCACAAGCAATTCTATGCCTAGGAAAGGAGCTCACCTGGGTCTTCCAGGATCACTGCTCCGCTACCACTGAAAGAGTGACTAGGGCGTACACGGTAGAGGTGCAGACCGCTAGTGTCTTTTACTCACGCAGAGTCTTATCCTATATCTCTTTGAGCCTTGAAGCAGTCAAGCATGGACACACTATATCAGCTGTTGGAGTGGAACCCTGTACAGGTAGGCTCTACTTTTCAGGGGGGGGGGGGTT